TAGCTTAGCTGTACCTTAGCTTTAGCTTAGCTTTAGCTTAGCTTTAGCTTAGCTTTAACTTAGCTTTAGCTTAGCTTTAGCTTAGCTTTAGCTTAGCTTTATCTTAGCTTTAGCTTAGCTTTAGCTTAGCTTTTCTGTTACTACTAATGCTGCTTTCCTAGGGGCTCCAACTCCTAGGTAGGGTCGCACTGGGATAAATTCTAATAATAGTAATAATGAATAATTAACTGGTCAGGGCGCATCCCCCGCTAACGATGCCCCCTGGCTTTCGGGTCATAACTCGGCTCTCCGGCTGCCGTTCGGGACGATCCGAGCACCCCCAGGACGCCCTCGGCGAGGCGCAGCTGCTGGAGAGCATTCCAAGGCTGGAAAACCGCCGATAAGCAACGAAAATGCAAGAAAACCTCAAACCTCCAACCTGTCGTCGTCCCGCCGAAAGTGGCCCCTGACGTGGCCCACAGGGGGGAGGCACTTCGATCTCTCGGCGACCTGAGGAGGAGAAGGAGGAGGAGGAGGAGGACCGAGGAAGATCGAGGAGGAGGAGGAGGAGGAGGAGGAGGAGGAGGAGGAGAGGGGAGGAGGAGGAGGAGGAGGAGGAGGAAGAGGAGGAGGAGGAGGAGGAGGAGGAAGAGGAGGGGGGATGGGTTGACAAAGCTTGGGGAGAGCTCCGGCAGGTCACCCACACCACCCACCATCCCGAAATGCTGAATGCAGGAACTTTTGAAGACCATCAAAAGACCTCTCAAGACTCAGCCTGGCCTCCAAGCAGTGCGAAAAAACTCTCTCGGGGACCCCCTCCAGTGGATGAGATCCAGGCTCCAAGATATGAGACACCTCCGTCTTCAGGCGCCATCCTCAGGTTAGCGTGAATACTAGTGGATGTGTCTGAAAGAAACACACACAGGCTTGGACATAGAGGGGGGCCACTCCGTAAGCATCTTGGCTGGTCCAGCATGGCAATATTTGCTGGGTGGGCTTATCTGCAGAGTCGTTTCAGACGCATCCTGCCATGATCCGCGGGTCCATGATGATGTTACTACAGCTTGGATTGTTTTGATGCAAGTGGCAGAGAAACGGCACGTGATCCTTTCGAACATGGCGGGGTCAGACTGATGTGAAGAAGCAATTGACAAAGAAGGGAGAGGAGCTCATGCAGTTACGAGGCTGCAACCCACTTTCGTCGAGGTGATATAAACTCGTGCTGCCGGCAGTCTGACCGCATCAGGAGTGAGCCTAGCCCCTGACGTCAAGCTGAGGTCGTTGTCCCCCCCCCGAGTCCTGCTCCTGAATTTCTGAGAATCATATATAAATTCTGAAAATCAGGAAGATAGCCGTCGATGGTATCCGCCATCGCCACTTCTCTCTTATGCGTGAGCATTGTCGACGTTTCCAGGGGATCGTCTTGGTCATGAATATGATTGCATACGCGCCGAAATATCTGCAGTAGGCTACCATGCAGATGTTTCGCAAACCTGAATCGGGACCGCGATCCATTGGCTTCTTCACCAGTGCTCTTCGACTTCATGGCAAGACTATATCATGGGAGAGTAAGAGATGGGAACGTGAAGGATGCTCACATCCCTCGTTCAGCATGGCGCCTGGACGTGGACCTCTGGATGCAGGATGGCGTTCTGTCTGTGCAGTGGGACCTCAAGCAATTACATGAACACGTGTCGCATCATAAGTTGTGTTAAGTGGCATTGGATGTCCAGCATCCCATCCCGATGATCCAGTGCAGTTTGAACTCATGCAAGTGGCCTCGACATATAGTGATTGATGGACGTATCTCGGACAGTATCTATGCAGGCAGAGGCAGCATAGCTGGAACAGAGACAGCTACCTATGATGCTAAGATGCTTGTCACGCCTGTGATGAACACCTGGTTGGAAAGCAAGACTGCAGAGGCACTGCCAGGTGTAAGATAAGAGCGTATGATTCGCGGGCTCGTCACAGGCACTCATGAATGCATGCAAGGCCGCTCTTGGATCCCTTACAGGGTGACTAAACGTAGAAGTCAAGAATCGTGGCGTTGACTATGCGCCAGGCCGACATCGACGACGGCCGGCACATTATGGTAAAGCTCGGGGGACGAAGTTCGGTGCCTGTCGATCCCGTCTCAAAAGGCGACAGGCCATGGAACGGGCCAGCTTTCAAGAAAGAGCGCATTTACTTTGCAGGGATCCAGGCATCGGCCGCGCTTCCTCGTCCTCCTCCTCCTCTTCCTGGTCCTCCTCCTCCTCCTCCTCCTCCTGCTGCTCCTCCTCCTCCTCCTCTCCTCCTCCACATTATCGTCCCTCCTCCTCCTCATCCTCCTCCTCGCACTCCCGATGAGATGAAATGTCTTCGTCGGGATGGGGCCAAGTCCTTGGGATTTCTTGGGGGTTCCCTGGACAGTGGGAGGCCTCTGCAGTTTGATCAGGGCCCCCCTCTAGCGAGAGGCAGATGCCTTCGAAAGATATGCGACATGCTGGTGGCAGGCAACAGCCCCCGACTCGTTCCAGGCTGATGGACTCTTTGCAGAGGAACTCACCAGGGCGTTCGAGATCTCCCAGAGGCACCTGGACCAGATCCGCCCCCTCTCGGCGCCATGGCGTCGGAAGGTCTCGGGGAACCTCCAGGACACACACACACACACACACATGCAGTTGCGTGCAGGGACTTGGACGCAGATCAATCCAGCCATATTCGTGGGAACTGCTGGGACTCATCATCATCAGCATCATCATCATCTTCAGCAGCAGCGGCATCAGCATCAGCATCAGCATCATCATCATCATCGTCATCATCATCAGCAGCATCATAATCATCATCGTCATAATCATCTGACTGCCACTCCGCCTCGGCGTGCAGCAATGTGTGCTTGAATGGTTCGAGGAGTCAATGCGTCACGACAGCAAAATGCCACAAACCCTCTCGGCAGCGCAGCACGAAAGGGCCCCGGGAGGTCCGCGAGAGAGGGTGGCCCCTGGGGCCCGAGGCGGCTCCACTAGCCAAAAGGTAATGTCCGAGGCATGCTAAACGCGTGCTCGAAAAGTTGGGTTCGGCGGTGGACAAGCCTCCCTTTAGCAAACCGCCCTTTAGTGAAAACGACCTGGGGCCGAAACCGACGGACCTGGACCCGCAAAACTGACGGCCGCGACGCCCTCCCGCGAGCCGAAAACGGCCAGTTCGCTTATCGACGTGTCAGAGTAGGAGGTCTGTCCACCCCCGATGGTTCAAGAAGAGATCCCACGGGGCTCACCCTCATGCTCTGGGCGTACCATACGGAGGGGAGGTACGGGGTTGTATCTTTCGTCGAGTGTTGGGATGCTCTTGACCCAAAGCCGAGAGAGAAGGTCAGACTGACAAAAGTCGTGCACTCGCTCTTTGCCACGGTCCTGCGGACACCTCCTCCTCCTCCTTGTGGATGGCTACCCCTCCTGTCACGAGTAGGCCCGTAAGAGAGCCAGAAGTCATGTGGCTTGATAAGGATGGTATCAATTCACCCTTCAAATTCCAGCGGAAGGAAGTCCGTCACTACAGCGATGGAACGTGCTTTGATGGATCCACACCCTATGTAGCTAGAGCGGGCTGGTCGGTTGTAGAGTGTTCTGAGTCTGGGGAGCTCATGCGAGGGATCCGAGGCCCTGCTCCAGATGGGGTGTTTCAATCGGCCTCGGGTGCGGAACACCATGCTTCGTGCATGTTCGAAAGACATTGAGAACCCTCGGACTCGGAACCCGACCCCCCTGCCCAGTTGTTGCGAATTTCCTAACAGTATTGCGCTCTAATTGTCAGTCCGTTCTTAGGGATTCGGCCATTCACCTTCAGGCAAAAAAACATTCGTCGCCGCACGCTGGGTATTGGCGGATCGCAGGCCGTCTCACGTTTTCCCGTGTGAAGGTGAAAATCGTTTAAGAGAAGAGCAGGCGATCTCTGAGCTCGAGCTGAGCCACTTTCGTGGTAACCAGCTGGCAGACCACTATGCCAAGCAGGCCGCCTTGGCCAACAACATGTGCAGTGAGGACCTTCGGTTTGTAAGGATGCCCAGAAGCTCTTCAGACAGGTTGCCCAAAACATGTGTCAGATATGGAACACACGTCGGTCGGAAGAAGTAGGTAAAAACATGAAGTAGGAAGGCGGATTAAGTGGATTGGGTCCAGGCCCTCCCAGAGAATAACAGAACACAGCAAAGCATGTCGACTCTTGAAGTAAGAAAGCGCTTGAAATTGATTGGGATCTGGGAATCCCCCCCAAAAAAACATGTTCAACGACCGGCGTGCAAAGGAGGGGGAGGGTGGCGCTGTCAGCATTGCCACCGCAGAGGAGCCAAGCTGCTTGCGAACTCGCGGCGTTTTCCTTCTATATCGTCGCTGTCCGAGTTTGGCTGAGGAGCGACGACCGGCACGTACCCAAATGAGCTATGGTAGCGTTTCGTGAGTGCTCGGAAATACCTGTGGCTTTCTGGCTGAGGTGCGGGTATATGACATCGACGAGGGCGAACAGGCTCAGAGGACCACGCCAAACCACTACCTCATCCCTCAAAGAGTTGTCGAAAATGAAGGAAGAGATTTTACCGAGGGAAATGGTCAGAAGCTCTCGTCCCCCTGGCCCCTCTGGAGTGTTTCGGAGTCAATGTTGGTTTTAACCCCTGCACCTTCGAGGTTGTTCCTGGCTCTTAAGTATGCTAGGAGCCCTGGAGGATAACGGTTTCTGTGTTTGTTCAGGTAGGCTCGTTGGTGGACCTGGACTTTGAGCGTTTGAGCGCTTGAGGGGGAGGACGAGGAGGTGGAAGAGGAGGGGGAGGACGAGGACGAGGAGGAGGAAGACGATAAGGAGGAAGACGAGGAGGACGAGGAGGAGGGCGAGGAGGATCGAGGAGGACCGAGGAAGATCGAGGAGGAGGAGGAGGACGAGGAGGAGGAGGAGGAGGAGAGGCGAGGAGGAGGAGGAGGAGGAGGAGGAGGAGGAGGAGGAGGAGGAGGAGAGGGGAGGAGAAGGAGGAGGAGGAAGCAGAGTGCCTGCTTGGCGTCCGGCCGCTCTGTCGGCGGTCCCGCCACAGGCCGCACCTCCAGGCTGGCCTCGTCCACGGGGGGCCTCGCGCAGCAAGCCTCGCAGGCCACCTGGCCCATGGCGCAGGGCCGCTGCGCCTGAGGGCATCCTCCTTTTAGGTCCTCCTCCTCCTCCTCCTCCTCCTCCTCCCTCCTCCTCCCCCTCCTCCCCCTCCTCCCCCTCCTCCTACTCGTCATCTTTTTTCCGTAGCCATCTGGGATCAAGTACGAGGCGCGGGCACTGGCGGTTCGTGCTCGCTGCAGCCAAAGGACAGGCTCGGGGTGCTCTCTTTCAGGCCTCAGGTGGCCTTCACTTGGTACAGTGCCGTTTCCCAGAGCGTCGTGGTCCGCGGCAGGTCCTGGCACTCAGGTCTGATGGGCCTGTTTTCCACCACCACCACCATAAGTTGGAGGTGGAGGGGGGCCTCCTCTTCCTCCTCCTCCTCCTCCTCTTCCTCCTCCTCCTCCTCCTCCTCCTCCTCCTCCTCCTCCTCCTCCTCCTCCTCCTCCTCCTCCTCCTTCCCCCCTCCAACTTATGGTGGTGGTGGAATACAGGCCCATCAAAGTCAAGATGATAAGAAAGGTCGCGGTGCTCATGGATTCTCAGACAGCCCTTTCTAGCGCCGACCTGGGCCGAGGTCACGGTGTCAGGGGCGGCGGCCGATGGAACCGCCACCAGCGGCATACTGGTCGCTCCCAAGTCCGATCACCACGTGTGCAATACATGTTACCACGGGTGCTACTTACATCGGGGACGTGAATGCTGCTCTGCGTGTGGTGGTGCCTACATTGTATATGATCCCCCGTATTGACAGAACAAACTTGAAGTATGAAGATGATTTCCCTACCGCGTCAGATGGTGAAGATCACCGAGTAGCTGCCCTGCTTCTCGGCGCTCGCCAAGATCTCAAAGGTCACTCGAGTCCCTCGCAACTCGTCCACCTGACGTACAAGCATAATGGAGCCTGCAGCAGCTTGACCCATGCGCGCGTGAGGGGCGCAGCCGTTTGGCTAAAGGAGTGACGGCTGCTGCTCGCTCAGAACGCATCGCTCTTCCGGACATCAGTTTTGATGAGGAGAAGTGCAACAAACTTCGCACCCACCTGAATGGAGCAGACGCCGCGTTGGATGCTGCTACCGCCGAGCTGGACATCGCGACGGCAAAAATTGTCCTCAAGGAAGATGCAGGCCCAAGAGATTGCCGAGGTCCGCGAGTCCAAGGCCAAGAAAGCGGTGCACCCCTCCTGCTGGTGCAGGCGCAGGTGAAGCTCCAGTTGCCCCAGCGAAGAGGAGGAGGAGGAGGTGGTGGAGGAGGTGGTGGAGGAGGAGGAGGAGGAGGAGGAGGAGGAGGAGGAGGAGGACGAGAAGGAGGAGGAGGAGGAGGCTCCAGGAGACCCAGCAGACGGTGGAGCCCAGGCAGCACCTGCTGGCCAGGACGGCAGTGCCGGCAGTCCAGGAGTTGGCGCACGTAAGCTGCCCCCAGGCGCTCCAGGGGCGCCCAAGCGCGCCCCGGCGGCCCCGAGCGCTCCCCAGGCAGCCTCAGGCGCCCCAGGAATTCCCAACTGTTCCCAGGCGCTCCAATGCGCTCCTGGGACGCACGGGCGCTCCCAGGCGCTCCCCCTAGACGTCCCCCAACGCTCGGAGGCGCTCCCGGGCGCTCTCAGACGGTTCAGGAGCGCCCGAGCGTTCCCAGGCGTTCCTGAGGCGCTTCCAGGAATTCCCTGACGCTCCCACCCCGCGCGCTCCCAAGCGCTCACGGACGCTCTCAGACGCTGCCGGGCGCCCCCGGACGCTCCATCCGGGAGCGCCCAAGCGCTTCCCAGGCGGCCCCAGGCTCCAACTCAAGGAGGCTCCAGGAAGTCTCAGGAAGCCTCAGGGAGCGCCAGAGAACACCAGGAAGCCTCAGGAAGCCTTAGGGAGCACCTAAGAGGCCCCAGTAAGCCTAGGGAAACTGAAGGAAGCACCAGGAAGCGCCCCGGAAGCACCCGAGAAGTTCCCAGGAACCACCAAGAAAGGCCCAGGGAGCCTCAGGAAGACACAACGGCCACAGGAAGTCCCAGGAGGCTTCAGGAAGACAGACTACATCCCAGGAAACTTCAGGAAGCCCAAAGGAGGCTCCAGAATGAATGCTCCAGGATGCCCCAGAAAGATGTGTCCCACGCAAGGCCCCCCACCGGAACGCCGCGCGGAGGTCGCGCAGCGATGCGCCTGCATACGCGGCAAGTTTGCGGCGTCCCCGCAGAGACATCCGCGCGCGCGCCCCGTCATGCAGCGAGGCGCCGCCCCCTTCGCGGCCCGACACCACGGCGCCGAAGACCGTCCCGAGATCGCCGCAGGTGCGCGCGGGAGCGCCGCCAACTTACGCAGGGAGCCTGCGCGGCGCCGCGCGCCGACGCCGCGCGAGAACTCGAGCGCCGAACCCATCGCCGGCGCGTCGCGGGCCCTCTCCTGCGCACGCGAGAGCTGCCCAGCCGCGCGGAGGACCCGCCTGGCCCCGCGCGCCGACCCCCCCGCGAGAATCGAGGGGGGCTGAGACCGCGGTCGACGCGGCACGCGGATCCTCATCCGCGCGCTCGGGCGCTGCCTACTCGCGCGAAGAGTCTGCCTGGCGCTGCGCGCCGAACCCAGTGCAAGCATGTGCGCTCTGGGTCGCCGACGCGACGCGCGAGTCCTTGCCTGGGACCGCTATCGCTACACAGTCGCGCGAGAAGGCTGTTTGGCGCCGCGCGCCGATCCCCGCGCGAAAATCGCGCGCCGAGACCGCCGCCGATGCGACGCGCAAGTCGGAACAGTCTTCAAATTTCTTCTCATGCAGACCCCCCTCCCGCCCCCCACGCGGTGGTCGCGTAGCGGCGTCATTCGACGCTCGTCGTTCGTAATCATCGTCGCTCGCATCTCGTCGTTTGTCGTCAACCGTCGTCCTGGTCACCGTTCGTTGTTCGTGGTTCGTCGTTCGTCGTCGGCATCGTTCGTCGTCCGACGTTCGTCGTTCGTCGCCCATGTGTAATCGTTCGCCATTGGTCGTCCGCCACCGTCGCCGTTCGCCGATCATCGCGCAGCGATACACCCGCGTGCGACGCGTTTCACCTTCCCCCGTGTCGGGGGGCGGCGTGGGGGCGGAGGCAGGAGAGCTCACTCCTTGGCGCAGCCGAATCATGGTGGGGGGGCTTGGGCATGAGCAGCGCGAGCGCGCACCAACGCATCCCATCCCTCAACAATCGTGTTGCGGGGGTGGGATGCGTGCGCGCACTTCTCGTAATCACTCCATGTTCCCCACATCTATATATATATATATATATATGTAAAGATGCCTACGTATATATTGTTATAAGGCCGGGGACCCGAAAAAGCGCACCACCACCACCCACCTCACGAATTTCGGATTCCCCGGCCTGCTTGAAGCCCCCCCCGGGCTGGTCGGATCCCCTTGCAAAGGGTTCCTTCGGCCTTCCGGCCTTCTCGGAAGGTCCAAAGAGGCCTCCAATATTGCCCAAGACAGCTCGTCGACAGTTCCAAAGCACATCAAAACCTTCAACATGGCTTCCAAACGCCCCAAGAGGCCTCCAAGAGGCTTCCCAAGAGGGCCCGAAGAGGCAAAATTAATTGATTCTTCTATGGTTGTTGAAGGTTTTTTCGGTTTTCGCCTTTCCGGGACAAGAACGGCCCAAGACGGTCCAAGAGGCTCCAAAGATCGTCCCAACACGGCCCCAGAAGCTTTCCAAAGGGCTCGAAAACGGCCCAAGATGGCCCCTAGACGGCCCAAGAGGGCCAGAAAACTACCAAGGGAGCCCCAAGACGGCCCCAAGAGAGCCTTAGGAGCACCCCAAGAGGCTCCCAAGAGGGCCCCAAGAGGTCCCCAAGACAGCCCGAAGACAGCCGAAGGCCTCCAAGACGTCCAAAGACGGCCCGAAAGGACCCCAAAACGGCCCAAGAGCGTCCCAAGACGGCCCAAAAGGGCCCGCAAGAAGGCCCAAAGAGGCAAAAATCATTGATCTGTTGAAAAGGTCTGAAGGTTTTTCCGGTTTTCGCTTTTTCGGGCCACGAACGGAGATGGCCCAAGAGCGTTTTACATGGAATTTCCCCGCAAAGCAAGTATTGCACGGATGTAGACATCGTTTAACAATAAAGTACCGTCTGAAACGAGCGTCAAACGCTCTTGGGACGTTCAGACGTTGGAAGGCGTTGTCATGTGATATCCATACGTACATCCGTACACACATGCACATGCATACATACGCAAAATAAATTCACATGTGCACACACATCCCCCCCGAACGCACTTCGGACTCCCCGGGCTGCTGGGAAGCCCCTTCCCGGGCTGCTCGACCTGCTGGGAAGCTCCCCGGTGGCTGCTCGGACGCTCTTGCAAGGGGGTTATTCGACCTTCCGGCCTGAGGTGTTCAGACCACTCTTCGCTTGACTCCCTCGCACAGCTGACTTCGGAGATGCCCTGCCCCATAGTGCTCGGGCTATTTTCGCCTGAGACATCCTCGCAACGTCAACCTCGGATACGCCTTGCCGCGTAGCAACTAGACACGTAGCACTCCGGCACGTTCACAAGGCCTCCAGATTTTTCCGAAAGGTTCTGGCGGCGCCCGTCGTTGAGTCCCTCTCAGGTCCTCCTGTCTTTCAACGCTCTCGGAGGCCAGCTCCCAGCGTCTTGCATCCGCGTCAGTTCCAGCCTCCATGCCATGACTTTCGATCCTGACCGTTCGCGCCTGCCTGTCCCCAGGTCCGCGGGACTCCTCCCATTACTATTTCCCTTCGCTTTCCTCCTTCCCACTGTCGGCTGAGACATCCTCGCAACTCTGACCCCAAAGAAGCCCTGCCCCAAGGTTGCCTGGACACTTCCGCTTGAGACCTTCTCGCAACTCTGGGTTCCGGGGTTCCCTGAGCTGAGGTGTTCCGGCCACTTTCGCTAGAAACATCCTCGCAACTCTGGATTCCGAGATGCCCTGCCGCAGAGTAGTCCGCCACTTTCACCTGAGACATCCTCGCAACTTTGGATTCAGGGATGCCCTGAGCTGAGGTGTTCAGGCCATTTTCGTTTGAGACATCCTCGCAATTCCGCGTTCGGGTGCGTCCTCAGCTGAGGTGGTCAGTTCACTTTCGCTTGAAAAATCCTCGCAACGCTGACATCGGAGATGCATTGCCCCGTAGTAGTCTGGCTACTTTCGCCTGAGACCCTCGCACCTCTGAGTTGCGAGATGCCCTGAGCAGGCGGTCAGGCCATTACCGCCTGAGATACGCATGTGTATGCGCACCCATAATTACATATAGGTGCGTGCATCAACAAACACATGCGATTGATATATACATATACATACACATGCTTAAATGTAATGTGTAAACACATATACAACAGTATACATGTGTGGTATACACATAGATATATGTGCAGAGCGTGCATGCGCGTGCGCGTGTATACATGCATGCGCGCATGTACGTACGCACGCACCCCGCTTGCATGCGAAACTCAGAGGACCAAGGTGCATGGCGCGCAGCGCCAATGCAGCCTTGCATATACATATGCATATATATACATATACATATATATATATGTATATATATATATATGTATCCTGTCCTCCATCGTCCTCCAGGAGGCGGGAGGAAAAGGATGCTGACGAGGCGGGGGCGCATACATATTCATCCACTGGCGAGCGGATGTCCCAGGGACCCAGGAGACAGCGGGTGGTGGGCCCAAAGCTGCCCATGACCACCGCCTCCTGGGGTCCTAGGGCATTGGGCTCCCGAGGCGATGGACAGGTATAACTCCTGGCCTCGGGAGGAGGAGGAGGAAAAGGAGAAGGAGGAGACGAAGAAGAATAACAACAGGAAGGTGAGGGTGGAGGACGAGGAGGACGAGGGGGAGGAGGAGCTGAGGAGGAAGGAGGAGGAAGGAGTGAAGAGGACGACGAGAAGAATGAGGTGAGGAGAACAAATGAAGAATGAGACGGAGAAAAAGGAGGATGAGGAGGAAACGGAAAGGGAGGAGGAAGAGGAGGAGGAGGAGGAGTGAGGAATAGGCGGGTGATGCATGAGGAAGGATGATGAGCGAGGAGGAGGAGGAGAAGGAGGAGGAGGATAGGAGGAAAGGCAGGAGCAGGAAGAAGAGGAGGAGAGGCAGGAAAAGTGAGGAGGAGTGGAAGAAGAGTGAGGGATGGTGAGGAGAGAGGAGGACGGGGAGGACGAGGAGGACGAAGGGTGAAGAATGGTGAGGGGTAAGGAAGACGAGGAGGAGAATGGGGAGAAGGAGACGGAGAGAGCGGAGGAGGATGCGAATGAGGAGGAGTAGGAGGAGGAAGAGGAGGAGGGGCGAGGAGTGAGGAGAGGGACAAGAATGAGGAGGCGGAGTGAGGATTCGGATGAGTACGAGGGGTGATAAGGAGGAGGATGAGGAGTGAAGAGTAAAGACTGAGGAGGAGGAGGAGGAGGAGGAGGACGAAGAAGAGTGAGGAGGAGTGAAGAGAGATGAGCGAGGAGGAGGAGGAGGAGGAGGAGGAGTGAGGAGGAGAAGGAGGAGGAGGAAGGAGGAGAAGGAAGGAAGTGACACGAAGAGGGCGGAGGAAGTACAGGAGTGGGAGGAACGTGGAGGAGGACGAGGAGGAGGAGGAGGAGGAGGAAGAAGAAGAAGAAGAGTGGGGAAAAGTGAGGAGTGAGAAGGAGCAGGAAAGGGAGGAGGCGGCAATAGGAGGAGGCAAGGGGGTTCGGAACCCGCAACTGGGCGGCTGCTCCAAGCCCGCGGCGGGCCGGCCTGCGCTTCCGCGCTCGCGCGCCCGGCGCCTGGGAGCAGAAGGCACCTCCGAGGGAAGGCGCCCTCACGCCATGTCTCGGATGCCGGGTGAGCTTTCCTGGGAGCCTCTGCTGGAGGCCTGGAAGTGGGCACCAACACCAACACAGGGGGCCGACACCAACACCAGCACCAACACACCACGCCTGGGAAGCCAGAGCATCACCACCATCACCGAGATCGGGATCTTCTTCCGTCGGTGGAGGCACACCGCCGACGTTGGTGTTGGTGTTGGTGTCAACCTCCAGGCCTGAGACTCTGTGGGCCTCCGCGGCCGTCATGAGCGTGAGTTCGACTGGAGTTCGTCCGGAGTTGGACCACCCCTTCTGCACCCTGCCGTCCAAAATTCGTCCACATGTCGCGCAAATGTTGTCCGAATCCGACGAGATCCGGACGGATTCCTGTAAACAAACGCAGCGACATGTGGGACCCTCTGAGGCTCCCATGAAGTACCACACCATCAGATGCGCCGAAGAGGGTGGTCAGGAAGAGGTTACAGAAACATGAAACAGGAAGGCGCTGAAAGTAGGCTTCCGCCCCCTGAACAGAAGAAAGGAGGGAACAACGCTCGACACGTGAAGAAGGCGAAGTCGCTTACAGCACATTGGATTTGGGGAATCCAAGAGAGCCTACTTTCAGTGACCGATGGATGGGTAGGAGGCAACTCTTGGGAGGTCTTCGTGGGCGCGATGAGGCCAGAAGCCAGACTAGGCCATTAAGCCAGATTAGCCAGGATAAAGCCGGTTACGCCGGATCCAACAACATCAAGCGGAATACGGGACCGTGCCAGATCAAACTGGTTCTCGACCACGGCTTCACCAGCGACGATGCTGATGTCAACCTCCCAGGATCTGTATTTTTACAATGGAGAGTCAGAGCAGGAGAGCCCAAGGCATCTGCGCGGATGAGGGGGGGGCATGAGGACGCATTGAGAAGGAAAAGCCATGACTTCGGGTGTTTTTCGCGGTCCTGGCCATGATGTCCACTGACACACACACACACACACACACACACACACACACACGCGCGCACACACGCACGGTCCTCATCCCCCTCTTCGGCGCATAATGCACGGCCGCGGGAAGCCAGAGCCTGAACGGGCAAAACAAATCGGCGGCGAATATACTGGTCGTCGTCGTCGTCGTCGTCGTCGTCGTCGTCGTCGTCGTCGTCGTCGTCGTCTGTCGTCGCTACCGTCGTCGCTACCGTCGTCGCCCTTGTCGCCTGGAGGAGGTCGGACAGTTCTGGGGGGGCTCTCGTCGCCACGGCCGAGCGCAGCTCCAAAGTCGGCCAGGATGGGGCCCTAAGAGGGATCTGGGAACAGATATAGGCTTAAGTCGGGCGTGTCCCCCTACAGGGGGATCTTCGACGAAAAATAAAAAATACCCCAAATACCCCCAAAAGGTCAAAAATACTCAAAAAATAGTCCCCGGATTTGGGGGTCACAGCCGGGGAAGCTCGAGACTGGATGGGCAGGACGGATCAGAGCGGTGGTCACGCTTCTGGCGACGCCACTCGCGGTGGCACAAAAAACATCAAGGGAGCGTGATGTGGAAGCGTTGCTGGTACGACACCGAGCGCGTGGCAATCGAGACCTCGGCCACAATCTGCCACTGTGGCTGCACGATGTGGGCGTATTAGAATGCTGGGTGTTGCTCTCCAAGGCTTGTGTCTTCTCTTAAGGGCCCCCCCCTCTACCACCAAATAATTGCATAACCCCTGCTCTGGAAGCCACAATCCCTCATCCAAAAAATGAATCCGCGATCCAGATGCCACGATCCCTCGGGAAAAAAAGATGGGCCCGCGTCCCGAGCTTCCAAAGACGCCCAGGCAGGCAACCAAAGCAATCAAGATGGCCCAAGATGCATGGAAAGACGGACCAGAATAGAACCAAGGCAGCCGAACATGACCTCAGGACGGCGCAAGATGCCTCCAAGGTCCCATAGAGCCCCCGAAAAAACCTCCGACAGGGTCCGAAGACGCCAAGATCGTGGACTTCCGGAGGGTTATTGGGTAAATGTCGCATTCTCGCTGGCCCGCAGACGGCCCGAGAGGCCCCCACGAGGGTCCACAGATGGCCCAAGAGGACCCCTCGAGGGATCAAGCGGCATCCGAGACGGTCCAGGAGCCCAATGCGGCGACGAAACGATGAGAGACTCCGGGCACAGACCGTCGCCCGACGTCGGGCATCGAATTAAGCACGCCACGGATATTGAAATCTGAGAGAGCGCGATCCACCGACGCTTTACTGTGAAAAATTCCCACCCCTCTTCCTCTGGAACCCGGGGGTCCACCCCCCCTCCGAAAATCCCCCCACCCCCCCTGCTGGAACCCCCTCCCCCCCTTCCCCCGGGCCCCGCCCTAAACCCCCCCCCCCCCCCCCTCCAGAAAACCGGGGGGGACCGGTTCGAACCCCCCCCCCTCCAGAAAACAGGGGGGGTCACTACCGGTTCGAACCCCGCCCCACCCCACACGCTCACCGCCGGCAAACGACTCCCTGGTCCCTACCACCGTCCGCACCACATCCCCCACTGCTGTCCCCAGCACCACTGTCCTCACCACCACTGTCCCCACTGTTCCCACCACCGTCCCCACTGTCCCCACCACTGTTCCCACCACGGTCCCACTCACCCCACTTTCCCCACGGCCCCAACCACTGTCCCAATGTCCCCACCCCACTGTTCCACTGTCCCCGCCGCTGTCCCACTGAGCTGTCCCACTGTTCCCACCACTGTCCCCACTGTCCCCACCACTGTCCCCACTGCACCTCTGTCCTATTGTCCCACCGCCGTCCTCGCCACCGCCCTCACCATTGTCCCCACCACCACTGTCCCCACCACCGTCCCATTGTTTCCACCACATTCCCACTGTCCCCACACCACTGTCCCCCCCACCACCGTCCCCACCACTGTCCCACTGTCATCACTGTTCCCAACACTGTCCCCGCTGTCCCCACAAGTGCCCCCACCAGTGTCTCACTGTCCCCACTCTCCCCACCATTGTCCCACCACGGTCCCACTCTCCCCACGGTCCCCACGGTCCCCATCACTGTCCCACTGTCCCCACTGTACCCACCACTGTCCCACTGTCCCCGCCGCTGTCCCACTGTGCTGTCCCACCGTCCCCACTGTCCCCATCACTGTCCCACTGTCCCCACTGTCCCCACCACTTTCCCCACTGTACTACTGTCCCACCACTGTCCTCACCACCGCCTTCACCACTGTCCCCACCACTACTGTCCCCACCACTGTCCCACTGTTCCCACCACTGTCCCGCTGTCACCTCACCACTGTCCCCACCACCACCGTCCCCACCACTGTCCGCACCACTGTCCCACTGTCCCCGCACCACTGTCCCCACCACCACCGTTCCCACCACTGTCCCAGTATCCCCGCCATTTTCCAACTGTCCCGAGGAGCGGGAATCGTTTGCCGGCGGCGAAGAAGGGGGGGTCGAACTGGTAGTGACCCCACCCCGGTTTTCGGTGGGGGGGGTTCGAACCGGTAGTGGACACCCTCCCTTTTCATGATGGACTGGGGGGGCGGAGGGGTTCGAACTGGTAGTGACCCCCCACCGGTTTTCGAGGGGGGGGGACGGGGGGGGAACCCCCAGTGGACCCCCCCCGTTTCCCGCCAGCAGCGGCAGAACACACTCTTTCTGAGATCTTGAGCTACGTGGGCAGGAGCCAAAATGGCTTGGCCTTGATTACGAAGACGGCGCATCGGCCAATGAGAAAGCATCAGCCATCCGACTTGTTCACGGGTGAGCTGTTCCCTCGGCAGATGTGCAATAAGGCATTAGACAATATGCGCATCTGGCGCTTCGCTTCACAATGTAACCAAGTGCTGTCTACATGGTGCGTGCGCATGACGCCACCATGCTATACATGGTTTGCGCAAGTCTGGCGGCATCAGACGCAACGATATGCACCACGCACGGTCATGACATACATCACGCAACGGATACATATATAACATACGTTGGAGAGTGCCTGATACGAGGCATTACGAACCGAACAGCCCTGGCATGGAAAGCATTCGCCATGATACCGTGGGCACGCCGGGACGCGTCAGAATGCTCCTCTGTTGTCTGGTATTGGTTCCTTTCTAGCGCTCCTAGAACCGCCCCCCAACCCACCCCTTGTCGCAAGCATCCCAAGGCCTCCCCCACCCCCTGGTTTTGCTTTCTGGCGACCTGCTCGGCCTCCAGGCGGCCCCAGACAGCCAACGACCGCCCCGTAGCGGCTGCAGGAAGCAGGAAGCACAACGACCATCCCAAGACTCCCGAAAGAGCTCCAGCCGCAGGCTCCGCGAAGCCCAAAGAGGCCCAGCGAGCCCCCCCAAACTAAATCACAACATCTTCTCCCCACGATGCACCAAGAAGCCACGAAAGCTTTCAAGAGGCGCTCGAAAAGGCATCCAGCGAGGCGCTCCAAGGAAAAAGCGTCGAGGACCAGAAGAGAAATCCGCCGAACCCTTCGGCAAGTGTGAGACGTTGGCGCCGTCATCGTCGTCCTCGTCGTCGTCGTCGCCCGTCCCAAGGAAATGGAGCAATCAGGGCAAAGAAACATCGCAGTCCAGTGGATTCCCTTCCCTTTATCCCTTCCCTGCAGGGGGTGGGCCCAGGGGGGGGGGTCCTGGGGGCGTGGGGGTGGAGGGGGTCCTGGCTCGGACCTCCCCCCGGGTCCCCGGCGGGTCCCCGGAGGGGACGGCCGCGGGGATGCGACGCGCCGACGCAGATGCCGACGGCATCGGCATCGACGACGACGCAGACGACAACGAGAGAGACGACAACGTCGACGACGACGCCGCCGACGCCGCCCGCGACGCCGCCGACGCGGGCAGCCACCGAAGCGGGGCAGGGCAGGGTCGGCGGCAGCGGCTGCGGGGCCCCCGCAGAGAGTGCGCGCTTCGCTCCCGAGGCCTCTCGCGGCTTCGAGCCGCCTCGGGGCTTGCGTCAGACAGCCGACCCAAAGAATCGGAGGCCTGGAAATTGGCACCAACACCAAGACAGAGGGTTGCCTCCACAGGGGGAAGATGATCCTAGATTTTCGGTATTGGTGGTAATATTTCGGCCACCTTGGAAGCCAGAATATTATCACGATCACCGAGATCGGGATCCTCTCCCCTCGGTGGAGGAACACCGCCGATATTAGTGTTGGTGTCAACCTCTAGGCCTGCGAAAGAATGGTTGTCGTGTTAATCTTGTGTTCGATGTCCATCGTTGTGCCGCTGATCCGCCCATGCTGCAACACGAAGCCGAAGCGGCAGCGGCCCACAAAGTCTCCAAAACACTGCTTCGGTCGACCCCAGCCCCGAAACAGCCTCTGGATGGCCGCAAGACCGCCCGACGGCCCAAGAGAGCGAACGAGCCCGAGATTAAGACCAGCGCAAATTCAGACCGCGCGCGCTGACCTGGCGTGTCTTAACCTCACCCTCTGACCGACCGAAGGCGGCCCAACGAGCCCCCAAAGACCACAAGATCTCTCCATGATGCCCCAATAAGCCTACGAGAGACGCCCGAAGAGGCATGCAGCGAGGCGCTCGCAGGAGAAAGCGGTCAAACTCGCTGTGTTTTCCTATCGAGTCCTTTCGGTTTCTGATCGTCTCGATAAGACTTCAGAGAACCCCAAGAAGCCCCAAAGGCAGCCAAAAACTGCCCCAAGAGAGCCCCCTAGATTGCCCTAAGACTGCGGATAACCCACCAAGACGGCCCAAGAGGGCTTCGCGACGGCTACAAGACCGACGGAACGAGCTCGAGGTTGAGACTCACTCGAGCTCAGACCGCGTGCTGAACTAGCATGGAACTCTTCCTAGGAGAGCCCGAAGACGGCTCAAAGAGTCCACAGGGAGTGGGTACCTCCCTCGGATGCCGCAAGAGAAACCTCCTGGAGATTCCCAAAGAGTCATCCAGCGAGGCGCTCAGACAAACACTGAGAATCCTGAAGATAATCAGTGTATTTTGCTCCCGAGGCCCTTCGGCTTGGGAGCACGCCTCGGGGAAGCTTCAGAGAGCCCCCAAGAGCCCCTACGGCAGCCCAAAGCTGCCCGACGAGCTACCCCAGATGGCCCCAGCACTCCCGAGAACCCGTCAAGACGACTTCAGGACCGAAAATCGAGGTCGAACGTAAGACCCATGCGAATTCAGAAAGCACGCTGATCTGTCGTGAACTCAACCTCCATCAGGCTGCGCTGCTGCGCTGGCATGGCCGCGGAGTCTGCCGCAAGCAGCCGGGTATACTACGGGGGTGCCTTTGGCTTCGAGATAGCACACCGGGGTGCACCCAAACTGACGCCGGGAAATTTCGGCTTGAGCCGAGCGGTTGACAGAGGCCCAGGGTCTCCTCCACGGACATCTCGAAGGCATTCTGCACCAGAAGGGAGAACGGCATATCGTTCAGCTCGACCTGTCTTGATCATCGGCACTCCCACTCTATTCCATTTGCTGCTCGGTCTGCTCCAACCCTCCTATCCAAGCACCTTGTGCAGCCTGGCTGCTCCTCAGACTCTCTCCGTCACCCTCGTTCCTCCGGCCCACGTCCGTTCCCTTCTTCTCACCCCCTCCACGCCGCCATCCCAGGAGAGTGCATTCTCAGTGGTCCAACGCATTGTGTGGAGTGGTTTGTGCCACCTGGCAGCGGACTCGAGGGAGCTCGAGAAATTCGGGATCGCAGGGCCGACCGTGGGGCCAGCCGTGCTCATGGCAGCGGTCTTCATGAGCAGGCTCCGCGCGGTATGGCTAGGCAGGCTGTTGGCTAGCAGACGAAGTCCAGTTTTAATGATGTGAACTGGCCAGCCCGCACTCACCCACACCTTCTTGAGCATTGTCCGATGCTCTGGCCTCCCGAAGAGAAACGAGCATCCTAGGGCGGTCGCCGTGTGTATGTCTACGGCGGGTTCGTGTCGTGTCGACGCGGCACGACCTCGCTGCGGGCGTTCACAACTGAACGCCGACGGCGGACCAGAATCAGCCAAGATGGAACGGTCTGACAATCCAAAAGCCGCCAATCGTTCAAGGTTGAACGAGCCACGCGGTGTCAGAAACCAACACGACGCGAACCTGCCGTACGCGTGCACCTTCCCCCTCTGCCCCCCCCCCTTGCCCGCTTCCGCCCGCACCCACCCACCCCCTTGGCCCGCTCCCGCCTCCGACCCCCTGCGTGCGCCTTGCTTCAGAAGCGCTGGCTCGAGCAACGATCGTGACAGGGCGTGCTCAAAAACCAGTCACTCGAACGCCCAACGGCCAGGCCAGCGTGGAAAAATACGCAAACAACAAGTGTTGTCACGTCAGGGCCAACATGACAGAGGCAAGGGCCAGAACATTATCAGCATCAACATTGCTTTCAGCGTGTGTACGAATCCATTCAGGTCTGGTGCCATCAGCCGTTCTGAATGCTGACGTCCCAACCGAGATCCCATCTCCCCCCGCGCACATTCGAAGGCCTCGTCAGCGAATACGTTGCGAAGAGCACGCAACTTGTGCTGGGCAGAAACGCGCAATACAGCACGCACAAACAAATGTTTCTTCAAGTAGGAATACGCACCCCGCACGAGGCGGCCCACGGGCCTCTGGGCCTGCATGCTTGTGCACGCACGGAGACGTACATGCACACGTGCACGCATGCCTGCACTCGCAAAAAGCAGGAAATGAATGAAGAAAACGGGTCCTGAGGGAACCATGCTTAGGAGAGCTCCACACAATACACCACCTACCAGCCCTGGCCAGGCCGGGCCCTGGACTGGTGTGCACCGGACGGGGCTTGGACGAGGATAGATTCGTTCCAGAGCGTTCCGGAACTCTGTCAGAGCGTTCTGGAACGCTCTGAGAAGGCCGCGGCGCCCGAGACATCCTCCAGAGCCTCTGGATCTCAGAAATTCTCGATCTATCCTCACCCGATTCATCCTCGCCCTGGCCTTGTCTTATACGAACCTTCCTCGCCTAGGCCAGTAGGTCTACACTCCCGCCCAGGGCCCGGGAGGGGCCCGGCCCGGGCCGGTGGTGGCGCACGGTGGGCGACCCTCCGAAGCCTCCGGACCCCGGACCCCTGGGCCTTCCCCCTGGACCGGGGCCTCATCCTGGACGGTTTCGTTGAGGATCGACCGCGACGCTTCGTCGCGGGGGGATCGACCGCGATGGGGGAAGCAATGGGAATCGACCGCGACGCTTCGTCGCGCCGCTCCGCAGCGGGGGCCTCGTGGTTTTGACGATTCGCTGTTCTCTGGACAGCTTCGCAGAAGTATCACTTGCTTACTTCGCGTTGTCGTACGATTGTCGCATCATCGCCTGCGTCGCTGTCACAGCCTCCACGGGCTTGACAGGTCCCTGGGACCGCCGAGGGCCCCGAGAGCCGAAGCCTGCGACAGAAGCCTCAGGATTCGCCTCCCTCGGGGTAAGGCAGAGCCAGGGCGAGGGTAACATAGGGCGACGACATCTATACATATCCACTGCTCCCTGGCTAGGCCCATCCTGAACCCAGCAGCTGTGTATACGCTGCGCCCTCCTGGCGTGGCCAGGAGGGCGTATGCACAACTGCTGGGTTCAGGATGGGCCTGGCCAGGGAGCAGTGGATATGTATAGATGTCGTCGCCCGGTAACAGTGGCTGGGGACAAGTCGAGAATCTCTCGGAGGCCTGGCGGACCCGGAGGATGCCTCAGGCGCCGCGCGGCCTTCTCGGAGCGTTTCTCTGGGGTGCTGGACCTCCGACGGGACCCCTCTTCATGGCGAACAGAACTTGGCCCGAACGGGGCGCGGCCGGCACGGGAGGAAGAGGCGGCGGCAACACGCAGACGCCTTGGGGGGCCCAAGAAACGACAGGGCAACTGTCTTGCTTTACCGCTCTCGCTGGCGCCGTCTCCTGGTGTGGGCTGGGCACGGCATCGGATCGGCCGTGCCCGGATGCACCACGGCGCTTCGCAGGCACCAGGACGCCTCGCATCGCCGGGGCATCGGCATCGAATCGGACAGGGCTGGCAGGGATCGAGGTCGAGTCGGACCGCTCTGATGTGGACCCTGCTCTGGCGGGTGCCGGAGGGTGCCCTCACCTGGCTCACGGTTCCCAGGCCTCCGACGAAACCTGTTCTGCAGTCCAGCTGCTTTCCTGAGTTTCGGCCCTCGGGGGCCGATTCCAGGCCGGGGACTATCGAAAATGGATCTGGAATCTGGGACTGGGAAACTAAGCCCAGGGGAAGCGGTCTGCACCTCTGGGGCCGCCGATTGAAGAAAGCATGCACCCGGATGCCAGGGCTTGGGGGGTGCACAATGCGACATTCCAGGAGGCCTCTTGTCCCCTTTTTGGGGGGCGCCCTACCGCCGCGCACTCGATGGCAACCGCTCGCGCCAACTCGCAGGCCACGCTCCCAGACGTCCAGCGCTGGACCCCCTGGAGATCCGGACAACTTCCTTGAGAGCAGCGTGGCGCCCTGAGCCGTCCTTCGACGGCGCCGGGGCCCGTCGAGGGCCCCCGGAGGCTGGAAAACGTCAAAAACCGGCCGCTCCAATCTCCGCGGCGCCTACGATCTCTGGGATCTCAGGGGCAACTAACTCGAGGGGGAGATGGGCTCGACCACCAGTGGCACATTCACCGCCGATGCGAAATTGCCAGCGGGGGGGCTATCGCCGATCGATCGGCCATGCATCGCCGATGCCAGGTCGCCCCCCGATCGTTGCCCCATGAACAGGCCGCTCCAATTTTTTCGGAGCCTCGGCTCGGTGGCATCTCATGGGAGCCTCCCGTGCCATCTTGCTGGCTCTTGCGAATCGACGCCATTCGACGCTTATCGGCGCTAAGTCGACGCCAATCGACACGAAACCGACGCTAATCGACGCTAAATCGGCGCTTTCTGACCGACTACCACGCGCTAGCCGCACGCTAACGCACTCTAAAGTCGGAGTTACAGGGACATGGAAGGCTCTCAGGATTTGCTGCCGAAGAGCCCGACAACCGCACCAGATGCTCATGATTTGGGGGCGACCTGGCATCGGCGATACATGGCCGATAGATCGGCAATAGCCCCCCGATGGCAAGTTCGCACCTTCCGAGGCGGGATGGGTTATCGGGCCCCTATCGGCGATGGATGGGGCTTTGGGGGTCGATGCGTTCCCCCCTGAGCTGATATCCCCCTGACGTTGCCCCTGAGATCCCAGATGTTCGAGGCGCCGAAGAAATTGGAGCGGCCGGTATTTGCCGGTTTCGGCCTCTGGGGGCCCTTGACGGGCCCCGTCGCCGTCAAGAAACGATGGACTCAGGACGAAAGCACCAGGCCTGGGGGAGTTGTCCGGACCGCTGGGGGTTTTGGCATCGAACAAGTTGGAGCGCCTGATGTCTGCAACGGCCTGGCCTGGGAGGATTCGAGGTGCGTGATTGTGTGAATATGATTGTGTGTGATTCAGTGGGATTGTGTGGGTGTGGGTGTGATTGTGTGTGATTATGTGTATGCGCGTGTGTGCGTGTCTGTACGCTTGTGTGAATGCGTGTGTGTTGTGTGTTGTGTCTGCGTGTGCGCGTGTGTACGCGCGTCCGCGCGCGCTTCTCTGACCTGTCTACGTCCTGTCGCTGCACGCGGGGCCGCGACGCCAGAACAGTGTGTGTGTGTGGGGGCGGTGCATGTGTGTGGTGTGTTTGTGTGCGTGTGTGTGTGTGTGTTGTGTACGTGAGTGTGGGGGTGTGCGTTGTGTGTGAGTGCGTGTGTGCGTGTGTCCGTGCGTGCGTGTGGGTGTCCTGTGTGTGTGTGTGTCTGTTGTATGTGCGTGTGTGTTCGTATGTGAGTGAGTGCGTGTGGGTTTGGGTGTGTATGTGTGGGTGTCATGTGTGCGTGTGTGTGTGTGCGTGAGTGTGCGTTTATGTGCGTATGTGTGTGCGTGTGCGTGTGCGTTTGTAATGTGAGTTGCGTGTGCGTGTGTGTGTGGTGTGCGTGTTTATGTGTATGCACATATATATATATGTGTGTGTGCATGCGTGTGCGTGTATGTGTGAATGCGTGTGTGTGTGTTGTTTCTGGTGTGTGTGTGTGTGTGCGTGCGTATGTGTGTGTTGTATGTGCGTGTGTATGTATGTGTGCGTGCGTATGCTGTGTGATATGGGTTGTGTGTGTGCGTGTGGTGTGCGATTTGTGTACATATATATACATATATATATATATATATGTATATATATACGTTTGTCATACATATGTACATATATATATGTGTATATATGTACATATATACACATATATGTACATATATGTATACATATATATGTGCATGTGTATGTGCATGCCTGTGCGTGCGTGTGTGTGGGTGATGTGTGTGTGCGTGTGTGCGTGCGTGTGTGTGGGTGATGTGTGTGCGTGTGTGTGTGTGCGTGTAGGTGCGTGTGTGTGTGCATGTGTGTTGCGTGTTATGTTGTGTGCGTGTGTGTGGTGTGCGTGCTTGTGCATACGTACATATAGATACCTGTATGCATGTGTATGTATGTATGTATGCATGCATGCATGCATGCATGTGTATATGTATGTATTTGTGCGCGTGTGTGTGTGTGTTCGACCCCATCCAGGGCCTGGGAATGTCCGCATCCACCGCCTGCCGAGGTCCCCGAAGATCGATCCCCCCGGCGATGGTTATGGATAAATCCCCGCCTCGGAGGAAAATAGCAGCCCACCCCCTCCCTCAAGCCACCTCGGGGTTCCTCATGAGGTGCTCCGCAGACACCTGACGCATGCCTCCGCGCAGCGACGGGTTGCAGAAGAATCGTCCGTTGCCTCGTCGTCATCCTCCTTCTCAACCTCCTTCCGCATAGGACAAACGCACATAAGCTACCGGTGCGGGTGGGGGACACCAGGGTGCTGGAGGGTCTTCATTTGTCTCGTTTGGCCCCAAGATGGCCCCAGGCACTTCAAGATCACAAAGATTAAGCAGGATTACCAAACATTGCCCAGGGTGGCCTCCAACTTAGCTTCACGAGGCCCCCAGACGGCCCCACGATGGATCGAGGTGGGTGGGGAAGCCCCTATGGAGTGGGACACTAGACACTCCCCACGTGTCGCGCTCCCCACTGGCCGTGGGGGTCGCTTTCGCCGCAGTCGCCGCCGTGACCGCCACGCGGGACCTTAAGCAGCCACCACACTTCGCGCTCCTCAGTGGCCGTGAGGGTCGCACTTCACCGCCGTCGCTGTTGACGCCGCGCGGGGCCTTCAGCGTTCCCAACACTTCGCGGTCCCCGCTGCCTCTGACCGCCGTCGAGGCTGTCACTGCCGCGTGGTGCCATTGGCATTCGCTGCACCTGGCGCTCCCTGGTGGCGCTGCGGACCGCACGTCACCGCTGCCACCGCAGCGTGGGGCCCCGGGCATTCCCCACACCGCGCCATCAGTACTTCAGCTTCGCCGCCCTCGCCGCCGCATCCACCGCCCGGGACCCCAGGCAGTCCCCGCGCTTCGCGCTCCCCACTGGCCCAGGGTGGCCGCACTTCGCCGCCGTCCCCGCCGCGTGGGGCCCCAAGCGATGCCCATGCGTCGGCGCCGCCGCGCCTGGGCCCTGGTCAATCCCCACGCCTCGCGCTCCCCGTCGGCCCCGAAGTTCGAGCGTCGCCGCCGTCGCCGCCGCGAGGGGCGCTGGGCATCCCCCGCCCACACTCCGCGCGCTCCGATGGCGCTGTCCACCGCAGTTCCCCGCCGGCTCTGTCGCGAGTGGCCCTCTGGGGGACCTAGGCATCCAGGCACGCTCGCACTCCGTCGCGCGTGCGCCACCACGACGCGGCACTGCACGGCAGGTCACCGCACGTCTGCCCCGCCACGAGGCCCCTCTGTGAGCACCTCGGGGCGCCACGACGGGGCACGGCACCGCACCGCACGGGACCAACGGCCTCCGCAGCCGCACCGCCGCTGCGTGGCCGCTGCCTCGGCGACGTCGGCGACGCTGGCGAGGCACCGCACGGAGCCACGCCGCCGATGCCTCGGCGGTGCGGCGTGGTCCTCCGACCCCGTCCATGGGAACGGTCTCCGAACCCCGGGGGCCCCGGTCGCCCGGAGGCATCCTCGGAGAACGACCCGAGGCCCAAAACCGTGCGGTGACCCCAACCTCACCACCGACTCACCACGCGGTGTGGTCACCACACCGCCTGGGGGTCCCCGATGCTGCTCAGCGTGTCGCGGCGGCGGCGCCTGCGGCACGCCAGCCCCTGAAGGACAGTAGCAGTTGCTCCAGCGCCTGCCGCCGCCTCCTCCGCCCGCTCGTCGGCCCGACCCCCGTGGTTTGTCCCTGCTTGAGGGGGCCCAGGGACACACAAATCCCAGGGTTCACCATATTTCCCCATCTTTTCTGGGGGTTCGTCTTCCCCCCCCCCCCACTTCCCATAGTTTCCCAAATTGTTTGGGGAATCGACGATTCATTGTGTCTGTGTGTGTGTTTCCCCGCCGGAGCGCTCCTGCTCAGCCCCCAACCCTGACGAGTCCCCAGAAGCGGCGTCATGGAAAACAATCTGGCCTCTGGGGCCACGTCTGTTATCCATGCCCTGCTGCCCCCGGCGCTCAGAGTGGGGGCAGCGGCGGGGATGTGAATCGAGCTTCGGTGGCCAACCCTACGGTCAGGAACCTCTTGGCGCGTTGCGGCGGCGGCCCCAACGACACGCTGTCCCCCTGCAAGCGGATAGCGCGTCGCTCCGCGTGGAGGGAGGCTCGGGAAAGCTCGAGACGTTGACGCTTGGCCACTGGGACGTGGACAAGGGTGTCGCGCCCAAGCGCGGTGGACCAGAACCATCGACGCGACACGCTAAGCCAAAGTTTCTGACCCTAGACCCTTCCCAACTCGACACAACAAATGGTCAAGAGCCACAAGCAAAAACACCGCTGGTTGGGCAAAATGCCGATCCCTCACTTTGCTGGCGAGTTCACCTGCTATCGCCCCTGTGGCTGGAGGAGACCGTCTGCCTTGCAGCGCCACTGCGCGGGGTGCCGTACCTCTCCGCAACCAATGCAAAACTGGGCGAACAACTGAGTCTGATAGCTCGACGGACACTCCATGTGCAAGACGGCCCGAAGAGGCATACCAATGGCAATGATCACAACGACTATCCAAGCAAGACGGGCATAGGCAGACGCCCAAGCCAGTCGAAAACAAATCTACCTGCTCGCATGGTCCGTCTGTCTCCAGGCCGCTATCTGTTCGGAATCGGACCCCTCAGCCCCACCAAGGGCACCGTCACGACAAACGTTTCGAGCCGAGCCCAACCATGGCAACGTCAAGCCTGCGGCACTCGAGACAGACGTTCGTGCGCGAGCAGGCTGAAAAAGAAAGGGGGGCGTGAGATAGATGGTACAGGACAAGCAGGACGCCAAATGTGAGCGTGTTCTGATTCGGCGTTTCGACTTTGAGCGGAAGGGGGGGGAGGGGGGGGTGTCTGGCTCCGGAACACTGCTTGATGCCACTGCTTGCACTCGTGCGTCCTACGGGAGGGACTCCACCTGCTCGAAACAGGTGCCACACACAGCCAAGATCTGCTCCATAGGGGGGTGGGGAGAGGGAGGGGTGCGAGGGACCGCCCCGATCGGCAAAATAATGAATAAAAAACGATCACCATCCGAGGCGGCGCACCTCTCACGAGGGCTCTGTCCATGTCTGCGTCGAAGCAAAGCTTCCTGTACCACTCCTCGCCGGCGGAAAACGCGCGTGGGGCAGCCGGGCCTGCCTCCCTCTGCGATGCCGGGGGCAACCTCAGATCGCCTGGGATCGTAGCGTCCTCGTGGATGCCAAACAGATGTGGTGGGACTTCCGACTCAGGCGCGGAGGCCAACCGTCCTCCGTCTCCCCCGCCCTCTTCATTCCTTTCATCCTCTTCCTCCTCCCCTCTTCCGTTGCTGTCATCCTTCCCAATCTCCTCCTACTCCTCCTCCTCCTCCTACTACTCGTCTTCCTTCTGCCTTCTCCCCCTCCTCCTCATGTTCCTCCTCCTTCTCATTATCCTCCTCCTCCTCCTCCTCCTAAGGAGAGAGAGTGTGTTGCAACATCTTGATGCGTCTTGGGTTTACTCTGGTCCTCCTCCTCCTCCTCCTCCTCCTCCTCCTCCTCCTCCCACTCCTCCTCCTCCTCCCGCCCTCTGGGCCAAAGTCCTCTCCTCCTCCTCCTCCGCCTCCTCCTCCTTCTCTCCTTTTCCGGGGAGGAGGAGGAGGATTAGGAGAGCCGGAGGAGGAGGAGGAGAAGGACCTTGGGCCACAGTGGCGACAGAGGAGGATGGGGAGAAGAGCGAGGGGGGAGGGGGAAGGGGGCGGAGGAGGGGGAGGACGAGGAGGAACGGGAGGATGAGGAGCACGAGGAGGAGGAGGAAAAGGAGCAGGAGGAGGAGGAGGAAGTAGAGGAAGAGGAGGGGGAGAGAGGGAGACGTGGGGGGGGGGGATGGGGGAAAAAGCGGGGGGCGAGGGGGGGCGAAAGGAAGTCCGCATCGGGCTGGAGGGCAGGAGGAAGCCGATGGGAACCCGATCGGCGAGCGGCGGGCGGCGGGCAGCCTGCAGCGCGACCGCGTTGTCAATGCCCTGGAAGGACAGCAACAGCTGCTCCAGCGCCTGCCGCCGCCTCCTCCGTCCGCTCGCCTGCCTGTACCACCTGCAAGCCATTGACGTCCTCATCCTGACCTTCATCCTCCTACTCCGCCTAGTGATTGCCACCAGCATCACCAGTGTCACCAGCATCATCACCATCACCATCACCATCACCATCACCATTGCCATCATCAGCATCATCATCACCAGCATCCTTATCATCATCAGCATCATTAGCATCATCCGTAGCATCGTCACCATCATCATCATCATCAGCAGCAGCAGCAGCGATGACATCATCATCATCATCATCATCATCATCATCATCATCATCATCATCATCATCATCATCATCATCATCATCATCATCATCAGCAGCAGCAGCAGCAGCAGCAGCAGCATCATCGTCGTCTTCATCATCAGCATCATCATTATCATTACCAGTATCAGCATCATCGTCGGCAGCATCAGCATCATCATCATCAGCAGCATCATGATCAGCATCATCAACTTCAGAATCATCACCATCATCAACACATACAGCATCATCATCATCATCATCATCATCAACATCATCATCATCATCATCAGCAACAGCAACATCATCATCATCATCATCATCATCATCATCAGCATCGTCATCATCATCAGCATCATCAGCATCATCATCATCGTCATCATCATCAGAATCATCATCATCATAATCAGCATCATCATCATCATCATCATCGATATCAGCAGCAGCATCACCATCAGCCTCATCAGTATCAGCAGCACCCTCGGCATCATAATAATCAGCATCATCAGCGTCATCAGCATCAGCATCAACATCATCATCACCATCACCATCATCATCAGCAATATCATCGTCAGCATCATCAGCATCATCGTCATCAGAATCATCAGCATCATCATCAGCAGCAGCATTGTCAGCAGAAGCAACAGCAACAGCAGCAGCAGCACGGCGCTCCCAACGCTATAGACACGAGGCGCCTCACGTGACGGCCACCCAGAATGCTGGGCTGGCACGGTGGCGGGACTTGCCGCAGGCAGCTGGATCCGCCGCCCCCTGCTTGCAGGGGTGCACGGCGTGCTGGACGAGCTGTTAGGTTTTGGTTTTGGTTCTTTTTCCAAAAGAACTTCCCAGTGGGCTCCGGCAGAACCCGCCGGCCACCCGGAATTTCCCCAAACGTGCTCAACGACCGCAAAAAATCCTCCAAAAACGGCCGTTTCGCTCGGGACATCCTCAAAAAATCGCGAAGATGGCCCAAGATGGCCTCCAAGTCCGCCCGAGATGGTCCAAGACGGCCTCCAAAACGGCCCAAGAGAGTCCAAGACGGCCCAAGACGGCCCAAGAGGCCCCCCAGAGGCCTCCCAGACGGCCCAAGAGGCCTCCAAGAGGTCCTCCAGGAGAGTCCGAAGAGGGCAAAATCATTGATTTTCCTTGGTTTTTGAAGGATTTTGGCATTTGCGCCTTTTCGGCTCTCCGACGGCTCAAGACGGCCCAAGAAGCCCCCAAGATCGCCCAAGAGGCCCCCAAGAGAGCCCCCTGATGGCCCAAGTGGCCTCCAAGATGGCCCCTAGAGGGCCCCAAGACGGCCCAAGAGGCCTCCAACACGCCCAAGATGGCCTCCAAGACGCCCAAGATGGCCTCCAAGACGGCCCTGGAGCGCCCCAAGAGGGTCCCCCGTTGGCCCAGAAAGGCCCCCAAAACGGCTCCCGACGGCGTCAGACGTGCCAGGAACCCACCAAGATGGCCGAAGTTCGCTCGAAGCTGGCCCAAAAGGGCCCAAGAGGCCCCCAAGAGGGCCTCCAGGAAGGCCAAAAGATGCCAAAATCACTGATTTTCCTAAGGTTTTTGATGGATTTGGGCATTTCCCTTTTTTCGGCCTTCCGACGGCCCGACACGGCCCAAGAGCCCCCAAAGATCGCCGAAAGATCGCCCAAGAGGCCTCCAAGACGGCGACGATGACCATCAAGACGCCCACGTGTTCCCCGAAGGCTTTCCAAACCGATTCGGGGAACACATGATCCGATGGCTTGGCAGGTCTGGCCTCAACGTTCGGCCACATAGGCGCTTCCACAAAGGCAGGGGGCGGCGGTGATTCGCCGTAGGCGTCTTCGATAGGCGATCGGCATTGTATGCATGCCCTTGCTCAGCCCCCGACCCCACGAGGCACCAGAGCGGCGACATGGATAAATTTCAGGCCTCTGAATAGATCCCTACCATGCCGCTCGCTTTCGAGAGTCCCACTCTCCGTACACCCCTCGATTTCGAGAGCCCCACTCTCCACACCCTCCGCACCCGCTCTAGAAAGACCAAAAGGTACCGATGTTGCTACTCCACAATACCTCTCCTGGGGTGCGTTCTGACCAGAACTTCGAGACAATCCAGCCGTGGCGACGAGCGATCTCCAGGACGAGCTGCAGTATCGATACCTTTCCCTCCTCTGACCCTCTACTGTCGACTGGGAGTCGACGTGAGGCGCTGATTGAAGCTCCTTGGGCGCAGCGCAGACGGCCTTGACGTCGCTGTTCTGGGAGCCCGCGTCCCTCAGGGTGCTCACGAACTGCTGGATCTTCCTCTGTCGGCGGCGAGCAATCACACGAAAAGGCCCTGGGCCTCTTCAGCAACTCTTCATCACCATCACCGTCACCATCACCACAATCAAACTAATGATCTCCATCTTCCTTACCATCACCATCAACCGTCACGATCACCATCTACCATCAACCGTCATCATCCACATGACGAAACCTTATTTTCATCTTCAGCATCACCACCAGCACCTCATCATCATCAGCAGCAGCAGCAGCATCAGCATCACCATCACCATCAAGAAGCGTGAGTGGGAGAATGACGAGAGGCGGTGGGAGGCGTGAGACGATCTCACACTCCACACCCATCACTCTGGAGGGTGGGTGACCAGAATGCACTGGCCATTTTTTCTTTGTGTTGCCTGCACGTCGGGGGTTGCGCGCCACGGTGCGCACACGCGACGCATGCACAGGGCAACGACGATGCCCCAAGGGGGAGACGCACATCACGGCCCAGGATGGCATGCAAGCGCCCACACATCCCCAACCAGCCGCAGCTAGGCGGCCGGAAGCTGAGGGGCAACGTGGCGCGAAAAACTTCGAAGGATCGCGGTACATAGGCGCAGAGCAACCCCTGGGCCACAGCCGGAAGGTGACCCCTAGGCCACTGCCGCCCGCACGATCCCCGCTAGCGCACACCACGCCAGCGGCTAGCGCCACCCACGCCCCGCAGTCCAAGGGTGGGCCAGGTGGGAAGGCAAGGGCACGGGGGCGGGGTCTTGTCCCAAAACGGCGACGCACGGGGTGCTTGACACATGTCTCTCACTGCATCCGCAACCCCCCCCCCCACACCGCCCAAGCAGCATGAGCGTATGGAATAGGTTCGCAAGTAACGGCGTTATTCAGCCAACCTCGCACGCACGTGCGCGCATATGACCCGCCCCCCGACCTAGAATGCACTGGCCATTTTGGGTTTGTGTTGCCTGCACGTCGGGGGTTGCACGCCACGGTGCGCCAGCACACGCGACGCGTGCACAGGGCAACGACGATGCCCCAAGGGGGAGACGCACATCACGGCCCAGGATGGCACGCAAGCGCCCGCGCATCCCCACCTGGCAACGCCGCGCGCTGGCGTCGCACCACGGCGGCGCAGGGCAACGACGGCTCCGATTGCCGGCCCACACGCCCCTTGCTGCAACATCCCCAAGTAGCGTGAAGCCCGAACGCCCCTGAGCGGCGACTCGGATCCTGCGCACCGTGTCCAGTATGACAACGACATGCCAGATGCTACGAAGGAGGGATCATGGCACCGACCCCCACAGATGGACCGGGGGGCGACCCCCGCGCGAGCGTACCGTTTCGCACCGCTCCTCCGGGCAGTGTGGCCGCCCACTTGGGGATGCCCCGCTGGCGCCAGGCCTTGCAAGGCGGGCAGGACAATTCTTTTGGTTGACACCTGGCGCTGCGGGGTCACGAACGCGAGCACCTCCCAAACAGCGTCCGACTGTTCATCGATGCCAGTCTCGTGGAGCCTGAACGCAACTACCCGCCTCAAGACGCACGGGGCGCACCAAATGCCTTCACCGTTGCGGTCGCAACGCAGGGTAAGGGTGCACCCGCACCCACCCGCGTCGGTTTTGCTGACTGGCAGAAGCAATGCGGCGACTCGCCGACTCGGATCCCACTGGGAATGTGCAGCAACCATCGCCGACAGCTCGATCTCTCTCAACATCCACGCGCAAGCGACTACATAAGTAGAGGAAGGATTCAGTAGGTCCTCGACCCCAGAGGCCGTCGCTGCGGCATCGCCGTGACACGCGGCGGGGATATGATCCCAGCGCAACTCCGCTGCCTTCGATGCTGGGCCCAGCCCTCGGCCGACCGCTTGCACGTCTTCACCTCCCACGTGCTTGAAGCGCAGAAGTCTACCCGCAAGCACTCCAGTGCCTGACTGCGCCTCGCCCCGCCGCGGGGGGCCTCCCTGGCCACCCCCAACGTTTCCACGAAGCGCTTGGCCCGCCAGCTGTCGAGTGGGCGGGGACGGTCGCCGCGCAGGGGCGCGGGCGGCTTGGAACGACGTCTGGGCCTCGGTCGCCATCTCAGTCTGCCCGGGCCCGAACTTGGAGCCACCTGGATGCTTGCCGCTGGAGCGCCCCCAGTAGCGGAACGCGCTGCAGACCGAACAGCATGCAGCTCCGACCAGAAGTCGCCAGTGCCCCCCCCCCCGCCCTGGACGCCAGCAGCCCCCGCCGCCTCTGCCGTGGCCGTGCGCGCCGCCAGCGGGACACGAAGTCGTGCCGCAGCGGCAGGGCACCCTGTCTCAGGGCTGGCGCGCGGCCCTCAGGCCGCCTGGCACGCCTCGACTGCGGAAGCGCGGTCTTGTCCATCTTGGGACGGCGGCGACGGGCTTGAGCCAGGAACCCACATGGCACGGATCACACGCGACGACCACGACAATGGGACATGAGGGAGGGGAGGGAAGGGAGGGGGGGTCCCACAGCTTGCGTGGATTCGCCGGGAACGTCTTGCGTGCAAAGTTATCGGGGAGCCTTCCGAAGGACAGAGCTGGTTGCAGGAACATTGCGGGCTGGCTATTCCCAGCCGCCCGCCCCGTCCGAAAGAGCGGGAGGATGAGGGCGCGAAATTGTCACGAAACCTCTCTGGGAACGGGGGGGGAATTCGTTGCGTTTCCCCCTCCCCCGCACGGAGATCAGCAGGGTTCGAGGTGGGCCGCCACCCCAACGCCCCGCACCTGCGGGGGGGCACCCCGAACCCTTTTTGACATCCCCCCGGAGAGTAGGGCACCCCATACCCAGACAGAACACGCCGAAGGGGGAAGCATCGCAACGCCCCCGACCCCGTTCACTACCTCCAGCTTCCACATAGACTCCGCCAACAAACCTGGTCAGACAGCGGACAGTGTGTAAGCTGCGGGTTGTACCGCAAACGTGGGATGAGCACACCGCAGAATGCAAGTGGAGCAAAACTGCACCAGGAAAGCTATCCCACTTTCATGGGGTAAGCATTCTGCACATGCAACAGACGCTGTGCTGTGCTATTTTTTGGGCGTGCCGGTCCATCCGCTATCGATGCGGCGTTCTGTGCTAAGCCATGCCTCTCGCACCGCGCAGCACAGACGGAACCAACGAAAATGTTACGAATTTCGGCTCGCAGCGCAGACGGAACCAACGAAAATGTTACGAATTTCGGCTCTGCCGAGCCTGTTCTTCCACGCTTTTGGCACGCCCCCCCTCGTTCCTCCTGCCCCCCTTTTTTCCGATGATGCTCTCTCGTAATATACAGTAGGCGACCCTGTCCGAAGACGTCGCTAAGGGCTTACGCGCCACTAGCTGCCACAGCCGACGGCAGGCGCCGCCCTCCACCGCCGCTCGACGGACCCCGCGGCCCACTGCCGAAAGGTGGATAAGCCCACGTCGGGCTCGCCCACGGCCCTCAATGGCCACTGTGGGCTATGTTGCGGACGCGATCAGCCAGCACCGCTACTGGCACACGCGGAGCACGCCATCTCGCAACCCCACGGCCGACCACGACGTGGACCTGAAATTCGACCCGAAACACTCGCCCCACAGGTCGGTGAACTTTATCGGGTCCGGGAGCGCGCAGTACCCCGAGTCCCTGTCGATCACCTTCCGGAGCTTCGCGTGCACAATGGCGCCCGCAGAGTTTTCTCCCTGATGCTCCCGGGGAGCCTGCAGCCTACTCAGCCAAACGGCGACGACGTTCCTTGGGCCGGCCACGCGCTGGGCGATTAGGTCGGGAAGGTCGTCGTGCGTCTCCAGGGAGAGCGCCAGATCCGCGGCGGGGAAATTTAATGTTTCGCTGGACGGCGCCAGTTTGTTGGCGACCCCCACAGATGCAGTGGAGTCCGTTCCGATCGCAGTTCCAATGACGCGGTCGATGCCTTGAAATACCCCCCCCCCAAGCCTTCGCCGCCAAAACGACCGCCAGGAGCTCCACGATTGACTGAGACGCGTACACCCCGATTGCGATGCCGAGGAGTCGGGCGTGCCAGTCAATGAGCGGAGAGGCTATGTACTCGATCACAGCTCGGGCGCGGCTATCGCACAGGATCGCCCCCAAGCCCCACGGCGAAGCCTCTATCACGACCACGAACCTTGGACCGCCCGGCCAAAGGGCAACCTCTCGAACCCTGGGGCCTGACCGCACCGCGCGCCACGCGGCCAGCAGCCACGCCAACGCCAAACAGCACCAAACGCCAAACGCCGAGCCCACCCCGCGACGGCCCAGGCCCGGCGCCGCTGGCGGGGCGCCCCGGATCGCAGACGCCAAGATGGCCCAAAGAATTCCCCTGCCCAACGGGCGCGCGGGAACACGCCTGCAGCACACAACAGTTTGTCAGCGAGTCGCCGCAGCCGTCGGAACCCCAAAATGCTCGCTGCGAGGATCGCGCATCGCGCCCGACTCGGCGACGCCGTCCGCCAAAAACTTGCCCAGCGCAGTCAAACGGGCGACGTGGCCAACAAAAGCAGAGGATACGTCGACCGATGCGCCAATCCACTCCACGAGAGCTCCGCGGCACCCCTTGGCCCGAGACAACGAAAAGCCAAAAGCAAAAATACTCCGGGGACTCATGACAAGAATGAAATTGCGCAGATGGGGCGCGCCGTAGAGCACCCGCAAAGGGTCGCCCAAGTACAGCTCGAGCCTGGCTTCGCACGGGCGGTAGAGGCCCTGCAACAGATGAGCCACGGCGGCCGCGAAACGGCCCAAAATCTGTGGCGCCGATGTCAGGCCGAATGAGACTCGCGCACCCAGACATGTGCAGCGATGCTTCGACTCGGACTCGCGCACCCAGAAATGCTGGCAAGCATCCCCCATGTCTGCCGTGGCCAGCTCCACCTCCGAACACACCTGGCCGCCCGCCGTCGCGAGGGCCTTCACGTCCTCCGCGACCTCGCGGAAGCGCGGCAAGACTGGCCTGTCCGAGAGAACCTGCGCGCGGGTTTTCTGACCACCGCGGAGCGTGTCAATGACGATGCGCCTCTCGACGGCGCGTTTCGCCT